GCTTCTGCACAGCAAGAGAAACCACCAGCAGTGTGAAAAGACAACCCACAATGTGGGAAAAAATGTTCACCTGCTGTTCCTCAGACAAAGGTCTACTATCTTGAATCTGTAAAGAACTAAAAAAAAATCAGACCTCCCAAATTTCAAGACCCAATCCAAAAATGGGCATCTAAAATGAATAGACATTTCTCAAGAATGGCTGCTATCATGAAATCAACCAATAACAAATGCTGGCAAGTTGTGGTGATAGAGGAACACAGGTGCACTGCTGGTAGGAGTGTAGACTGGTGCAACCACTATGGAAATCAGTATGGAGACACCTCAAAGAACTAGGACTGGGATAAAGTTCAGAAGATTAAGTAGATATACCCTTACAGATTCTCTTGCAACAGCCTGACTTTCACTGCTGCTCTTGTCCTGGGTGGGTATGAAAATTATTTTTGGTTAATTCCTATCCATTATTCTCTCTATTTGCATTATGGGTTTTACTGGCTTTAGTGGTGCTCTGGAACATGTCTTGTGGTGAGATTGGCGGGTGACTGAGATGACCTGGCTCTGCTTCCCGCCCTGCTTCAAACTGAGCTGCCTCACTTTTCTTTTAGATATTCATTTATTTCTGTCAGTTCTGATTCTGTGCTGTTATGTACGATGTGTTGTGTGTTGCAAGAGGCTGGGTAATGAATACACAGGACCTCCCTGCATATTTTCTTTTTATCATTTTATGTGAATTTGTAATGATTTCAGAAAAGAATTAAAAGCACTGCCATGTATAACATCTAATATTATATGAAAATAAATAACTTCCTTTGTTGTTATGTGTGAAGTGGTTTATTCAAAGAAACTTGGGTGAATATTGACAGATTTTTATTGGGCAAACTATTCATTGCTGATTTTTGGATGTTGTTTAGAGAAAAGTTAATGTGACAGAAGAGGATGTGTATGTGTGTGTTTATTCAGTTCCTTCTACTGGAATTTATTTAGAAGAATTTCACAAAAATTTTTTTAAAAAGAATGTTATTGCTGATGTTAGTAAAAGGAAGAGGAGGTTATTAGGTGAGGGAAAAGAGAAGTTCCTTATTTTACATGAGATTATTATTAGAAAGATGGCAACAGAGAAATAGCCATTTTCAATTTTGGCAATCCAGAAGGACTTCTGTGTTAGGAAATGAAAAGCAGTTTTGTTGTTTTTTCATTAGGAGTATTCAGAGCTGTGAATGTTCACAGTAACATACTTCTTTGCTGTCAGATATTTGGGAATAAGTTGAGGGTGGAGACTTACTGGGCTGTGAAAAAAGTTATCCAACAAACCCTAGTTTTTGAATTTGGTGATAGTATATTATCAGTGTCTGATTATTTTTCCTTATGGTTCTATGGCTTGAGAGCCATATAATTTCCAGTATAAATAAGCATAAGAGAAATGCTTTTTTAAAAAAAAATCCTCAAAGTGGTGATATGGTTTTTCTTTGTTCTTTTAGAATTTTAAAATGCTTTATGATGAGGAACAGCTTAATATGGCCCGTAGGCCTGGTACTATTTTACCTGAGCTGGTACTCTCATCTGATTAAACCATGGAAAATTTAATAGCACATCTGTGGTGAGATAAATGGTCCTTTACTTAATTTTACCCCAAGCATATGAATGAATTTATTAAGAAAGGGAGACAGATCATATCACTTAACAATTATTTTTCCACATTTTCCTTTTTCTAAGAAATGAGGTTACAAATAAATATGTTTCCTTAGAAATCCTACGGGTACTAATTATTGGGTCACATGTTTTCCACGGCTATCACATTTCTTTATTCTAATAGAGTACACTGTAGAAATACAATTTTTACTAATATGTATCTGAAAGGAAATGCAAGGCAAGTATATAGGCTCAGGAGTCAGATGTTTTGGGTTCAGATCTTATCTCCTACAGATATCTGTGATCCTTAGATAAGTACTTACCCTCTTTGTGACTCAATCTCATTTGTAAAATGGAAGTTCCATTGTTTAAAATTGTGGAGTCCTATTACTGTGAGGTCAGCAGAATATCAGTATTTTTCTGACGCCCCTGACAAAAGGGAGCTGGAAGTGCAAAGAGGAACACCAGTGGAGCTGATGCAGTTAAAAAGGAAGCTGCAGATATGTCATGGACTATGGAAGGCATTGTGAGTATGAGGCCTGGACCTACTGAGGAGGTGTCATTTAGCCAAAGGGTGATGCCTCTGCCCCAGCTGCTCATTTGGAATCACTCCATTCCCATGGCAAGAGTATCTGCCACCAACTCACACATTTGGAGATAGGAGCCTTTCTCTTCTTTCAGCCTTCTCAGTCCCTTCAGTGCCTAACAGGAAGCCACCTGCCAAGAGAGCTTGAAAATATAGTTTGATATCTCCAGCTCCAGATGTTCAGATCCAGATGTTCCAACTAGCATAGGGAAGGGTAGATGGGCTAAAAAATTACAGGTTAATAACCTGTGCAAAGACTTCATACACATGCATATATCTTTTATAATCAGTAACTATGACTGGTTCTATGGAGAATTCAGTGGCTGGAGAACAGTAGTGGAGGATACATTATTTTTACTCCCTGCCTTTTGGGTTTTGTTTTTAATGCCTGCAGATTCACAGAATTGAGTTAATTATACTCATTTCATGGCACACTGATGTTCCATGCATCATCGTGCCCATTTCCCATTGTCACTCATGTCATGCATATCTTCCTCCCATACTTTTACATAGATATATTGAGATTCTTAAAATATATATAATGTCATTCATGGATTAAATTTAAATGACTTTATGATAAACTTTTATTTTTTACATTGATCATTAGGTTTTTGAGGTGGATCCATAATACTAAATATAAACTTAGTTCACTATTTTTTTTCCCATAGAATTCTACCATTTTTCATGAAACCACATTTTCTCTGATCAACTTTTCTATTCATGGACATCTAAGTTACTTGCACCTGTCTTGCATACACTGTGTAATGAACAGTCTCATCCCTGTTTTCTTGTGGGTCTGTTGAGAGTTTCTGGGATATATACCAAGCACGGCAACCTATAAAATGGCCCCCAAATGGTCCCCACATCTTGATATTTGTGCCCTTGTTTAATCTTCTTTTTAACATGGGCTGTATCTAGTGGTTCTCTTCTAACCGATAGAATATGGTAAATGTGATGAAATGTTACTTCCAAGGTCAGTTTAGAAAAACACTGTAACTTCTGTCTCTCTCTCTCTTTCTTGCATCTCTCTCTTTCTCTTTTCGCAGGTAACTGATGTCTCTGGCCAACCATCAGCAAACCCCTAAGGCAGTGGTAGTGAACCTTTGGGACATGCCACAGCAGTTTGTTATCACTGAAAGCTCTAAAAAGTTCTCATCACTGCCCTAAGGCCTACCAGCAGCTATGTAGGTGAGCTTGGATGTGTCTTCTTAGGCCTGCCAATAGGCACATTGATGACAGTTGATCCTAGATTGCAGACTTCAGACTCACAGGCACTCTTATAAATCATACCCTGTCCCACAGAAACTTTGAGATAATGCTTGTTTATTGTTCCAGCCTACTAAATCTTGGGGTAATTTGTTACAGTACAATAGAAAACTAGTAAGTCCAGGAGTGTGATTGCTGCATATAAATATAAATATATGAATATATAAATATATGCATATTTAAGGACTGCCAGATATTTTTCTTACTGCCAGATTTTTTTCTTGGATATAAGGATTTCTATTTCCTTACCCTTTCACTCACACTTGATAATATCAGACTTTTGTCAACTTGAGAGTTATAAAGTGATAAATTAATTATCGTATCACATTTTGAGTATTCTTTCATATGACTTGCTAGTTACTCAGAATTCCTTTTTTGATCAGTGTTCATTCATTTATTTGATCTTTGGTTTGCATGTCTTGTTAATTTAAAGAAATATCTTATATAAACAACCCTTCTGGAGTTCAGACATTGAAAATATCCTGTTTGTTAAATTGTATGTGACATCCTCGTTAAACAGCAGTATTTCACTTTGATACAGTAATGATGATAAACTCTTTTTCCTTAAGGTTTATGCGTATCTGAGTGTTTTAGGTAGAACCACTGAGATTCACAATTTAGACTTTCCAAATAAGTAAAAATCTTTACATTAAAAACTATTTAATGAATTGAGGTGTATGTACAAAAATGGATAAATACTGATGACCTATTATTGCTCATGTTGCTTGAATTTTCTTTGCAATATTATTTTATAAATAATGTGGTAACTTTTAACTATTTACCTAGCTGAATAAAGATGAAGTGTAGCTATTTAATGAGACCGAAATCAGATTGGAGAACCTAGTAGGAATGAATTGATGCATTGGCCCCTGAGTCCCAGAAACTATGAAATAACAAAGTATGTTGCAAAAAATAAAAAACATAATTTTCTTTTTCAAACGGAGAAAAGCTGCCCTTTAAACAATAATTTTAAGTTTCAAATGACCACCAGGTGGCACCAATGGCTGATAAGTACTTCTGAAAATCAGAAGCATTATTCTTGGCTTTAAAATCTGTTAAAATACAAATATGTTTACAGTGTAATCAAGGATATATGACTGGCTCCCTACTAGTTTTATAGAACCTCTCACAAGGTTCCAGGTTGGCTGAAGTCTTTCCTCCATGGTCTTGTAGCTAATAACACTCAGATTTCTCTGTAATTTCCTTGAATCAATTTCTTTCATTTGAGGTACAGAGAAGGATGTTTTTAGCTTTGATAGGTCCGGAATAGTGTGGCTTTTATGTATTTTTCCAAAGATCATTGAGTTTTCAGTTAAATCTAGGTTTGGGAAAAGTAATATCATCTAAAATATAGACTTTCCAATTTAAATACATTTTCCAACACTTAGAAAACCTGTAAGTGATGGAAAATAGTAGAAATAAATGTTTCATAGCTTTAATTTCATATATTGAATTGATAATGGCACATAGCATATATTATCCACCCTATTTACTGGACTGACCTAAAAATCCCATTTCCTTTTAGGAAAAGTCCATAGAGATACTTATGGCCCTTGAAAGATAAATTCATTTGTGAATTAATATGTCCAGGGACCATAGGGCTGACTCCAAAACAACTACTTGGACTCCAAATATGAGACTTTTATAAAATCATGCATTCTGAATGATACTGAAAGTCACACTGTGTCTGTGACATTCCATTATCCTAGAAAGGTCTCTACCAGCCCTCTCTCTCATCCTCTCAGATGTGGCACCTTTTCTGTATTCTTGCTACATTGAAAAGCACAGCCAAGTATTAGGCCTTCCCTACTCCGAAAAAAATACTTCCAGAGCTTTCCACTTGCTGTTTACTTGTAGTGATTACTCAATATGATTCAATATTGAATAGACTTTTAAAGATAATCAATACTCACATGTCCCAAAATATGATTAGTGAAGTAATAGCCTTTCAAGATACTAGTTGGGAAAAAAAGGTATTCTGTTATTTTCCCTTCCTAGCCCAAATTATCATATTAAAGAGTCTAGTAAACCATAGAGCAGCGATTTTTTTTTTTTTTTGATACTGGGGATCGAACTCAGGTCCTTGCGCTTGCGCAGCAGGTGGTGAAACCACTAAGCTAAATCCCCGGCCCTGAGCTGTGATTTTGAATGGAGCAGTACTTATAAAATGTTTTACAAATTTGTAGGAGTGTTTTGTTGCCTCTCAGGTGAGAAGTCACGGATGGATGATGCTAGGTAGCATGCAGGTATGGAATCGTCCTATTAAAGCAAGAGTTGCCCTTTACCCCCTGGGACTTTTGCTTGGCCTGACAATCTTATACTTTAGTATAATTAAGACTACTACTTAACTCTACTTACAGGTAAACACAAAGTAGTTGAGATTCTATGTAAATATAAGAAAGACTGTATTTTGTTTGTTTGGAAGTTTATTAAGAATTACTCAGTTTCAAAAAGGCACTATCAGCAACACTGCTAGTTGTACTTGAGTGGCTGATACACAGCACATCTGAGAAACCTGATTTGTAGCTGTGACATTTGCAACTATTCTCCAAATACAGCAAGGACTTGATTATTTTGGGGGTGGGGTGGGGTGAGGGAGGGTAGGCATGCCTAAGCATTTACACATTAAGATACATATTATATTGTTGTTGGTCTTCTTGGAAATTATGTTTGTGTAGGACCTATCTTAAGAATTTTGTTTCAGGATGGTAAAGGAGCAGTTACAAAGATACTTTAGGTC